TAAAATACATGACAGTGACAAATATACACACATAAACACAAGATAGTGACACACACCTACACATATAAAACACATGAGAATGACACACATTTACACACATAAAACACATGAGAATGACACACATTTACACTCATAAAACACATGAGAATGACACACATCAACACACGTAACACACAATATATTCACACAAGTCTACACCGATAAAATACAAGAAAATGACACGAATGATCTTCAGATTCCAGAAATAAACTCTAGTTGCTGACAGAACGATGTCGTTTCAACCTTTCTCAACAAGACGGGATCGAATTTGAACTTTTTATAAATGCGATACAGAACATTTTTCCTGCACTTTTATTTGACATTTGTCACACAGATCGCTAGAAAGGACCCCAAGCAAGGATTCGTCTGGATTCATGTCATTGTGTTTAAGTTTATTTATTCATTTCTTACAAGCAGTGGCGTAGCGAGGTCGGGTGTCACCCGGTGCGGCACTTAATGGTGTCACCCCCCAGAGGCGTAGCGACCCTCCCCCGTGCCCGGGGACAAACTTTCAATTTTCGATTTGCACCACCCCCCCCCCCCCTCCACCCTTGTCGAGATTTGTCAAATTTGCTCTTAAAAGACTTTTTAACACTCTAATTAATCACTAAATTCAGTGGAATTATCATTTTTTTCTATATATTTTGCTATTTTTTGCCTTGGTGTTGCCCCCCCTAAATGGTGTCACACGGTGCGGTCCGCACCCCCCGCCCCCTGCCTTCGCTACGCCACTGCTTACAAGGAAACGAAAGTTCGAATTGATTTTGTCTAAACTGATAATCTCAGATTAGCACAGTTTTATTTGCCATTTTATAAACCTAATCTAGAAATACTTTGTTTGAAATTTTACTACATGTAGCAGTGGCGTAGGCAGGGGGGGTTAGGGGGGGTCATAACCCCCCATAGACCCCTCGGTATATAGAAAAAGTATGAGGGGGGGTGCAAATCGAAAGTTTGAGGGGGGGTGCAAATCGAAAGTTTGAGGGGGGGGGGTGCAAATCGAAAGTTTGAGGGGGGGGGGGGGGGTGCAAATCGAAAGTTTTTCCCCGGGTAAAAATTGGACCCCCCCCCTTGAGACGATCCTGGCTACGCCACTGACATGTAGTATTATGTAGTAGAAGTATTTTATTTTACTGGAAGTCTAGTTAATGTAGGATAGGTTTCTAATATTTCCGGTCCTGTAATGTAGGATAGGTTTCTAATATTTCCAGTCCTGTAATGTAGGATAGGTTTCTAATATTTCCGGTCCTGTAATGTAGGATAGGTTTCTAATATTTCCGGTCTTATAATGTAGGATAGGATTCAAATATTTCCGGTCTTGTAATGTAGGATAGGATTCTAATATTTCCGGTGTAATGTAGGATAGGTTTCTAATATTTACGGTCTTGTAGGATAGGTTTCTAATATTTCCGGTGTAATGTAGGATAGGTTTCTAATATATCCGGTGTAATGTAGGATAGGATTCTAATAGTTCCGGTCTTGTAATGTAGGATAGGATTCTAATATTTCCGGTCTTGTAATGTAGGATAGGTTTCTAATATTTCCGGTCTTGTAATGTAGGATAGGATTCTAATATTTCCGGTCTTGTAATATAGGATAGGTTTCTAATATTTCCAGTCTTGTAATGTAGGATAGGATTCTAATATTTCCGGTTATTAATCCCCTCGCATTGTCGAACTATCAGTTTCAATACATTTAAAGCTTCTTGATATTGGGCTTTGAGAAATCAATATCACGCCACTATTATCACATACATAAATGTGCGATTCTACTATGTTAAGTTAGTAAAGCGCACACACACCTAGTTCAAAATACATAGTAAACCAACATACATACATATACAATGGAATAGCACAAAAAGAATATCAACAGATGCATTCACACAAATGCAAAAAAAAAAAAAAAAAAAAAAAAAAACCGCGTTGTATCAGCTATTCTTTTAAAATCATTACACACACATCTCATTCATACAAACTAGAATAACTCTCACTTATACACACGTATACGCCAGTGCTTACACACATACACACTCTATCGTAACTCTAACTCACACACACATACATTACCACACTATCCTAGAGTACAAGACCTTGCGTCCATTGACTGTGGACAGTGTATCGACCTCTGGATCATCGAATCACTTAACTATGTCAACATGACCCATACGTTACCACACTATCCTAGAGTACAAGACCTTGCGTCCATTGACTGTGGACAGTGTATCGACCTCTGGATCATCGAATCACTTAACTATGTCAACATGACCCAGCTGCCTTAATGAGCCCCGGGTTAACGATACCTATCACTTCTAATTGCTGTCGTCACTTCCTGTTGTTTTGTTACCACCCACCATCACAAAATCTGATAGCTGTACATGATGGTATATGATGGTACGTAATGGTACATGATGGTGCATGATGGTGCACGATGGTACATGATGGTACATAATTGTACGTGATGTCGTGATGGTACGTGATGGTATATTATGGTACGCGATGGTACATGATGGTACATGATGGTACATGATGGTACATGAAGGTACATGATGGTACATGATGGTACATGATGGTACATGAAGGTACATGATGGTACATGATGGTACATGATGGTGACTTAAATGGTGACTTATCCGCATGCATTGTCAACGATAACTGGCGCCATCGTGTTATTCCGGATTTAAAAAAAAAGAAATGTTGAAAGCTGTGTCTGTCTTACTATGATGTGAGCTGTTTTAGATGACGAAACACGTCCCAAAGTATCTTGAACTTACATTAATACTGCAGAGGGTGAAGAGGGATAGGTGTCCATGTTGATTTGTTGTAATAGGAACATGTAATATCTTGCTGTCTGTAGTGGGCGCCACCGTGTTTAGGGTGCTACAAAGTGTGTAGGGCGCCATCGTGTTTAGGGCGTCATCGTGTTAAGGGTTCTACAAAGTGTGTAGGGCGCCACCGTGTTTAGGGTGCTACAAAGTGTGTAGGGCGCCATCGTGTTTAGGGCGTCATCGTGTTTAGGGTGCTACAAAGTGTGTAGAGCGCAACAAAGTTTTAAGTCTTCTTCTTCTTCTTCGTTCTTAATTATTAGTGTTGAAGGGGGTCGAGATTTATCTGCCAGTGGGTTTGAACTCGAGACTTTGTTCGAATTTATCAACCATGAGCTTTTTGCCGACTCGACCACGCCTCTAACACAATTAAGCGGTACGTGTCAACTGGTTATGCGCCGTTGAGGCCATTGACTCCGATTTCAGCCTGCTTTTCTTTTTGGATTTGCTTCCATAGCCTTTGTCCAACCAAGAACAAACTACAAGGCAGCAGTTGTTTAATTTTGGAGTTTTCTCTCCTAGAAGAGTGGCTGTTCCAAGCTAACGAGCCTCATCTGCCCGAGGGTTCGAACTCGAGACGTTTCGGTTTAGCAACCATGAGCTTTACCGACTCGACCACGCCGACCCCTAAGTTTTAAGTAATGTTTAGTCTTTAAAGATGACGCCATACTAATTGTATTACGACCCCTTCCCCTAGTTGCATGGGCATTTGATGCTTTGTTTTTCGGCACTTAGACGAGCCTTTTAATCAAATTCTCCATTAGACACATCTGTCTAGTTTGTTTTTGCCGTCAGAGCGGTTAACAAACTTAGACAATTTTTTTCCAAAAATAAAAAATACCAGCGCTTTAGTGTCAATCATTTGCTTTTTTTAAAATATTTTTTCTATTTTTTTTTCTTTTCTTTTCAATTCGATATTTTGTTTTGTAAATAACCATTTTGTAATTCTCTTTCATATAGATTTTCGAGAATTTATATTTTCTATTAAAGTAATTGCAGATTCTTTTGAATGGCATTTCGTTTGTTACTTCACTTGACAATGTTTTTCTGTATCAAAAGGATTATTCATCTGAGCATCATTGATTGAGATAAAAGCAAACTTCATGAAATCAAATTTTGAGTTTTTATTTTTAGTTTATTTTATTTTCTTAATGCTGAAGATTGCCGTGGTTATACATAAAATGTCTTCTTTAACTCTGACTTTAAAAAAGTAATTTGTTCTCACTTTAGTGAACTTGATTGTATAACACTGAACCACACTAATTTTAAAAAATATGTCAATTGGTTGGTTAGATAAGTCATCTGATTTGTCTAAACAATCGTGTCCTTGTCTACTGTAGTCTGGTAGGCCGTTAGGGGTGCCGCAAGAATCATGCTAACCAACTGAACCATTCCCCTCCGTCCTCTACCATCTTCAGTATCCCACATCTACCTCGTATTCCTGTGTCGCCTATTTTCTAGATATTTTACCTATATGGGTGTCACCAGTTTGCGAGATATTTACACATTTTTTGTGTGTTTGCCAAATTTTATCAAAAACAATTTTGTGTCTCCAGTTTGCCAGGATTTTCAAAAAAAAAAAAAAACAAAGCAAAAAAAAATATGTTACCCCTGTTTGCCACAAATGTACACATTTTGTGTGTTTGCCTTTTCAACAACGAAAAAATTATGTCCCCCAGTTTGCCAGATTGTTTTTTTTTGTGCTTCCCCATCTTGCCAAATAAAAAAATAAAAAACGTTTATGTCCCCAGTTTGCCAGATATGCATACATTTTTTTGCGTGTTTGCCATGTTTTTCAAACCAAATTTTTATCCCCAGTTTGCCAGATTTTTCAAACCAATTTTTTGTCCCACTTTGCCAGTTTTTTCAAACCAAATTTTTGTCCCCAGTTTGCCAGATTTTTCAAACCAAATTTTTGTCCCCAGTTTGCCAGATTTTTCAAACCAAATTTTTGTCCCCAGTTTGCCAGATTTTTCAAACCAAATTTTTGTCCTAATTTGCTTGTTTTTTTCAAACCAAATTTTTGTCCCCAGTTTGCCAGATTTTTCAAACCAAATTTTTGTCCTAATTTGCTTGTTTTTTTCAAACCAAATTTTTGTCCCCATTTGCCAGAATTTTCAAACCAAATTTTTGTCCCCAGTTTGCCAGATTTTTCACCTTCACCTGGCAATATGGCGAGGTGCTGTGCAAGTCTGTCCACTACATGCAGAACCTGACCATTATATGTTCGGTGCTTAACCTAACAGGGTTAAGCTTAGAAAGGTAAGTTAACGTTAGGTTTTTTTTGTTATTATTGATGGAGGGGGGGGGGCGGCCGGCAGTTCTATGAACTTAACCCCTATTTGAGAAAGTTATGTTTTTGGGTTAGCTCTTTCTTTAGAGTTAAGATAAGACATGCCCTGAGTCAGTGTAAATCCTAAGATTAGGAAATTTCCACTGTAGATTATGGTAATCTGTTGGTGTTAAGTTTACAATGATCAGACCAGACCCATCTCTCACGTCGTGACCGCGCCCACTAGTAAGCGCCTCGTTGCTATGGAAACGTTCTGGTTTCTTTTTAGTGTTGAGCGTAATTGTCTAGAACTCAAATGACAAGGCAATTAAAAAAAAAAGAGATGATAAACTTAATTAACAGAACATAATTGCAGTCTACGAAAGTTGAGAAACTAACCAAAAAAAAATATTGGACTGGATAAAAAAAATTACATTAAAGAAGAGCGTTGCGAGTTGTTTCTTAGTTGTTCCTCAGTTGTGTTACTAAATTGCTACTAAATTATTGTATGTTAATTATTTTTGTTTTGAGTTTTTGTGTAGGGCTTTTCTACTTACTGTAATACACAGGACCACACAAAGTATAGCGTACAATACAACGATTTTAACAATATACTAGAAAACAGTATAAAATATAAAAATGTCTATATATATATATATATATATATATATATATATATATATATATATATATATATATATATATATATATATATATATAGTAATATAATAAATGTTTTCGATACAAATTACGGTACACAATACTTTACACACTCGTCCACGTCCTCTCTCAACCACACACGCCAACCAACAACCACACACCTTAGCATACGCTCTGTAACAGTCACCCGTCAACTGACACACATCACGTGAACACTTCTCACTCCATGTTAACACACTCAACCAAGGGCTACAGCTGTATACCAAAAGAGAGTACCTGTCGTTCGAGCACACAACACACACACACAATCATGGGACGCTACATGTCAGGGACGTAACAGTGTGCTAAATTTTGGACTGTCACATAATTAATAATTAAATATAAGAAATGAAATAATAGTAAGCATAAACTAAGGCTTTAAAATCCTTTCACAGCCTTCCACACATTCTTTAAAATGTACACCGTAGATTGTGGTCAGACATAAAGGTATTGCAAAATCGCTTATTACATAATTGACACCTTACATAACGTGTTTTTAATAGGCAAAAACAAATCAATTAGAGAATCACGCGCAAGAAAAAAAAAAGAAACCACACGATTTGAAAAAGTAATGAGACACCAGTGTTTGTTTAGTTGTCGATTGATTGTGATGAGGATGTTTAATTGATTTTAACACACAAACTTTGCTCGAGTTCTGATTTTTTAAAAATCTATAACTCGTTATATAATTAGTAGAAGATCTAATTAAATGAGTTAATTTGATTTGTTATGTTAGGGATGGGGTAATTACATAAATTTAATGATCATAGTAATTAACACCATTTTTCAAAACAGATAGAACGATCTAAAATATTATCGACAGAAAGAAATCTTATCAATCTATAGCTTAAACTAGAGTCTATCTGTAGGCCTACCTTACCCTGATTGTTCCAACCATTTAGACAATAGACTGGCGACTTACCTGAAGGCTCAAACCCGTCCCTCTTGCTGTCCTCAGGTATTATGCGATCTTACACCCAATGCGAGCTAAGTACACGTGCACGGTGAGCATGGCACGGCGGTTTGTGGTACTAATCTGGACCATGAGTGTCATCATGGCGGTTCCTATCTTGGTCGGACAGGTCAGTTCTGCACATTGAATATATATATATATATATATATATATATATATATATATATATATA